CTGGCGGAGTCCCTGTCGGAGCAGTTCATGCAGGACCAGGATGCGGCAGAGGCAACGGCAAAGGCCGAGAGGATACCAAAGGCAAGGGCAAGGACACCAACGACGGACGGATTCCGTGCTCGTTTCACCTCAGTCAGCGGGTACTGCCGCTTTGGCAAGAAATTTCACCAGCACGTCCCCGCAGCCAAAAGCGCTGCCCCTCGACATCTGACGCATTTGCTTCCAACCAGGGCGCTGGGGCAACGAGTGCCTAAAAGGCATTGGGAAACCTGGGGTGGGGCCCGGGCAACGACAAACAGCTGCAGCCAATTCAGATAGCCGGATTGGCGCTGGCGGCCGGATTGCCACTGGCTTTCCAGGCGGCGGCGCGCCACCTGGAGACCCTGACAGCCAGAAGCAGAGCCGGATCGGAGCCGGACAGGAGCCAGACAGCTTGCGTCACAACAGGACTCGACTGGGTCTTCCTCGGGCGGTGGCTTGGAGCAGGCCCCGCTCGCACAACCACAAACGAGCGTCACGCTGTACACTTTGTCCCAGATGGTGCAACAATACAATACATGAACGAGCAGAAGGCGAATTACAAAACCACGGAGGAGCTTCCAGAACGCATCTCTGGCAAGATGATACGAACCTTTGCTCCGAATCTTGGGTTGGGTATCAACTGCGCTTGCCCAGGCGCTGGTCTGGCCATGGCTGGCGACGCTGGTGCAGAACTTCACATTCGATGTGGGAAAGATTTCGTTTTGCACGAAACCGACGACCATTCGTACAACCCTTGGTTTCAGAGACCGCTGAGGCGACACCGCTGTTCATGAACAGGCTGACGTCGAATGCGACGGCGTGCTCTTGCGAGGATGTCTCTTGCGTGAAACCGCCACGTGCAGCTTTCTTGCGATCATCTTGCTTACCGATACGGGTTGGGAATATTCACAGAAAGGGCAGGGGGCGTTATTGGGTGACCCTGCCAGTGCGGATATTTTATCACGGTCTAGTAATCTCTGCTTCCCAGGTGGTCTTCGCTCTGCTCTTCCTCCATGGCTTCCTCCTCCAGGCGATCCTCATCGCGATCGCGATGGCGCAGCGCGATCATCTGGCAACCGCGGGGGAGCAGGAAGGAGGGGGAGGGGCAGGAGACGGAGGAGGAGGGTTTCCCATGACATCGTCCAGCCCGCTCGCGGATAGTGGAGCCACGGCGTCGTGGCCGACTGGGGCCGCAGAAAGGGCTTGGTCGCCACACCCTGCCGGCCGCCGCGTTGGGGAGAGCCGAGGCTCGGAGTCGTGCCTGGCTGGATCCGCACCGCCGCCGTCGTCGCGTTCACGTCCTGCCAGCCGCTGCGTCGGGGACAGCCGAGGCTCGGAGTCGTGCCCGGCTGGATCCGAGCAGCCATCGTCGTCGCAGTCCGCGTCGCTTGTTCCCAACGGCCCTTTGCGAAACCCAGATGGCCCCAGCTCGTGCGAGACGCGCGCCGGCCATGGCGTCCGCGAGGAACCCATCGTCATCGTCGATTCGCCCCAATTGGTCTTGGAGTACCTCCACGCAGCTCCTCCAAGTGATACCCAAGACAAGCTTATGATGTTGCTGCCTGGAGGGGCCATTTTGGCACCGTCTGGTGCCTTCGACGTCGCGACACTCGAGCGCATCCGAAAAGGATACATCGGTTTCGACAAGGACTGCGAGATCTGCCTGCGAGCGGAACTCCGGTCCCGACCCGCGCGGCGAGTGGCGAAGGAAGATGTCGAAGTGGGAATTTCTGCTGACCTTGCAGGGCCCCTGCCCGTGTCCCTCAATGGGAACAAATGCGGCCTCGTAATTAGCAGTTCTTCGAAAATCTCGCCCTGGCCTCGTTCGGGGGCTCCCCGACAAGAGTTCCGCTGCACTTCGACGCGCCCTCGTTGATTGCAAACAGGACCAGCGCCGTCTCTGGCGTTTTCATTCCGACTTGGGCGCCGAGTTCAAGGGGGAGCGCGAAACATGGTTGCGCGAGTCAGGCCTCGTCGACTCGAGCGCCGGCGGCTGCCGGTCCCAGGCCAATGGGATCGCAGAGAAACGCATTCAGGATTTGTTTGTGATCATTCGCGCAATATTATTGCAGTCGTCTGCTCCACGCGCCTTGTGGGACGATGCGCTCGCGCGCGCCTGCGCCATCCTGAACAACGCCCCGCATAGCATCCCAGGTCACGACGACAAGCAGGTGCCTCGAGCACTCGAGGACCCGCAGGGCACATCTCATGACCCTTCTCCTTGGCCACCGTTCGGATGCAGGGTCGCGCACTTACTTCCCCGACCGACTCGCAAGTCCAGGCTGGATCCCGCGGCCAACGTAGGCGTGTACTGCCAAGCCTTGGCTTTGATTCGAGAACATTTAGAGGACGACGGATTGCGCCGATCTCACGACGCGGAGAGATGTGGCTCGTCGAGTCTCCCATTGTCCACGACGGTTCGCTTTTTCGAGCGGGAGTTCCCGCTCCTGAAGCCCGAAACCCAGATTGGTCCGCTCGACCTGCCTGTCGACGCGGCTCTGGCTTCCCCTCCGGCTACGCCTCGGAGTTTGGCGGGCGCGGAGGGGCCGCTCGACTGGCAACCTGCGGCCCCCATTGCGCCGACGCTTGCCGGGCAGCCTCCGGTCTTGGAAGCGAACGTCGCACCTCAACCCACCGCCGCACGCGGCGCGAGTCGCAACGCTACCATTGCAGAAAGGCGCGTTCGCTGGCGCGCACGGCACCGCGCCCGTTGACGCACGCCAGCAGACGGCGCCGCCGAGGCTGCCCAGATGCCTTGGCGGCGCGCCCACCGTGCAGGCGCTCGTGAGAGGGAGAGTTCTTCCGATTCGGATCGCGCCTCCGTCGCGAGCGCGCCGTCGTCGCGGCGTTCCCCGGGCGGCGTCGACGAGGGCGTGGAGGAGGAGCAGGAGGAGGGGAGGGCGGAAGAGGAGGAGGATGGCTACGTCGACTTTCCCCAGAAGCAGTGCAAGCATTGTTCTGCATTGCGACTGCCTCTCCTCTTGCGGTCCTTGCTGGAGCAGCGCCTAATATCGTAGATGATGCCTTCCACGCCTTGCGTGTCTTTTCGGCAGAGATTGTCAAAGAGGAGCCCATGGCAGAAGCGATGGGCCTTTTAGGCCGTCAGGCGGCGCATGCTACGCAGTCGATGGACACGCGGTCTTATTTGCGAAGGCTGGATGGCCGTGGAGCGCTTGCAGCCGCGGCGACTACTTGGTCAAGGACGCCCCCGACTTGGACGCGCACTCGGTGTCTCAAGCGAGCTATTCTTGAAGTGCTTCCGCCAGTCTGGCGGCGGAACACCGCGAGGCCAAAGCCTGCGGCGGCGCAACGGGCCCGGATGAACAGCGACAGGATCAACGACAAGAAGATTCCGAATGCGGCGATGAGTCGCGCGAGGCCCACGATGATGCCAGCGCCGCCGTGCACGGCTTTCGACTGAAATTGTACGGCTTTCGACTGAAATTTGATAGGGTGTTTTTTCAAACTGTTTGTAAGTTAAGTGAATCCTAGTCGCGGCACCGTGGGCCCGCGGAAGCTTACCAGGAAAACAAAAAGCATTAAACGCATGAAAACAGTTGTATGTTTCACAGGGAAGATCTGGACACATTGAAGAACAACTGTGATTGTCAGCGTTTATATATTGGCGCAACACATGAAAACACTAACGATCACATGTTTTCCTTAGTTTTTTGTTTAGGTGATTTTTCCATATGAAAGCACATGTTGTTTCATGTGCTCATGTTTTTTTGTGTTCCTGGTAAGCTTCCGCGGCCCCACGACGCCGCCTCTAGAAACCCATTACAATCAAAATCAATGTGTACATGGATTTCACTTTGATTTCGTTTGTGGGGATTTACACTTTTGAATTTGATAGCGGGGATTTTCAAACTCATTTTAATTATACGGATTTGCACATCGAAATTGATTGTGTGGTTTTTCAATGTGTTTTTAAGTGTAGGGATATCTTTATTGATCCCCCACAGTTAAAACCTCTCTGTAGGGCCGCCACAAAAGGAATTCCTCTGTACAGGCTGTTACAAAAGATTCTTCTAAGTGTGGAGACCACTGCATACACTCCACACTTAAAATCCTTCTGCAAGGTCGCCACACAAGGAATCCTTTTGTAAAGGCCGCTACACAAGCATTTCAAGTGCAGGTCATCTGCAATATAAGAACAGCGACACCCACAGGTTTTCCTAATTGCTTCTTGTTTTTCCTTGTGAAAACATGTATGTTTCCTTGTTGTTTCATGTTTGTTTTCCGGATTTCTTCTTTAGCTTTCCTGGGCTCAAGGTTCCGCCACTGCAGATTCCCCACAATAGAAATTGTTCAAAGGCTGCCACAAAAGAAAACCCTTTGTACAGGTTGTGGAGGCCACTGCAGATCCCCCACACTTACAATCCTTTTGTAAGGTTGCCACAAAAGGCATCCTTGTGCAAAGGCGTTGCAAAAAGACTCCGGGAGAAAATGCAACAGGGAGATGAAGAAGAACGAAGACGGCGAACATGCATGATGAGTAAATTGATGATCCATCGCGTTCCAGTCGCCAGGAATTCGATCAAACATGCCTTGTTGTAATCATGCAAACAGCGGGTCGCATAGGGGGGGCCCGGTTGGAGAGGCCGATGTCCGAGGGAGGAAGGGACCGATTCCGACGTGCCCAGGGTTTGTTCAAGGCGAGCGTCCGCGAAACACGTTCTTTCAAAAGATGCACTGCCGGCGTCTCAGGGTCTGCGTCATATTGATTGATTTTCGGGGCATATTCGCCTCTCCAGTGGCCGTGCTGGACGATGCGAGCACCCCTGGAGCGCTTTCTGCGAGGCGCAGTCGCTTTCCCGAGGGTGGAAAGCCGCCGAGGACCGACGAAAAAATCCCAAACCCTCGATCCTCGAACCTCGAACCCCAAAAGCCTGGGGTAGATCCGCCGAGCCCTCTGTTCTCTCTGGGCTCATCCTCCCTCCCGCCCCCCGGCCAGTGCCGCAGGCGGCTCCCGGGCGATGGCCTCGGGCGCCCCAGTCGAGGTCGTCAGCCTCGGCGACGGCACCGAGATCAGCCTCGCGAGGGCGCCGCGGGCCGCCCTCCCAAAGGGTCCGAGCAGATGGGGTCCCGAGCAGATGGTCGCCGTTTTGCCGTTCCTTGTTTCGCCGATCGGCGCGGGCCCCCGGCCTCCCCGCCCCTCCATGGACCAGATCTTGGCTGCCTTTGGCGACTGGTAAGGACCCATTCGCCCCAGTCTGCTGGCGCGACTGGTAAAAGCAGGTCTCTGCCGGCGCGACTGGGAAAAGCAGATCGACCACGCACCGGCCCTCCGAGCAGATGGGGTCGGAGGATCGCGCCGCATCGCCGATGCATCGACGGGGTGCGGCTCGATGTGGAGCCCGATGTTCTCCACGCCGACGGCGCCGATGCATTGCCGACGTCGCAGGTGCATCGCCGTTGCATCGCCGATGCAGCGCGATTTTCGACCCCATCTTCTCCGACCCCACCTAGAAGGCCTCTAGATCGGGGAAGCGTGTGACTCCCGTTCACCTGAGCTCAGGTTAGCCCGCCCTGAATTGTTACAGGTCAGTTTTCGTGGGATGTTTGTCGCGGGAGCTCGTGCCAAATTTCAGACAGTCTCGTCGTTTCCCTTGCTGCCCCGTCAGGCCAACTCGAGTCACCCGAGCCCAAGTCTTCCCCGAAGAGAGTGAGAGAGAGAGAGAGAGGACCCTGATATCCGAAAGAGCGCGTTCTGTCTGGGAAGGTGGCGGGAATTCGAACTGGGGGGGTGCGGCCTTCCCCCCTGAATTGCAAGAGGGGGGGTGGGTTCGAACCGCCCCCCCCTTCTGAAGGGGTGGGGGGTTGAACCTCCCTGCCCCTCCCTGAGTTGCAGGGGGAATTGCAGGAAGGGGGGGGTAGTTCGAACCGGCCCCCTCCCGCCCTTCCCAGTGGCAGCCGACGACGGCGAGCGCCCGCGCCGGCGCCAGCGCCGTCGGGCAGCGACGACGACGGCGACGATCGAGCCCCAGTAGGATGCTATTAAGACTGGATCGAGCCCTCGTGAGATTCTTTTTTGAGCTGGATCCAGGTCTTAGGCCTTAGTAGGATTCAATTCGAGCCCGATCTAGCTATAGTAGGACACAATTAGAGATGGATCGAACCGTAGTAGGCTTCAAGTTGAGCTTGATTTAGCTATAGTAGGATCATATATTAGAGTTGAGTCGAGCTCGACTAGGATGCTTTCAAAGCTACATCCAGCTATTGCAGAATTCATTTAGAGCTGGACCAAGCCTGAGTAGGATTCAATCAGATCTGGATCCAGCTACAGTAGAATTTTATTGGAGTTGGATCGACCCGACTAGGATGCTTTTAAAGTTGGATCCAGCTATATTCGGATTCTGTGAGAGCTGGATCGAGCTTTTTAACTAGTAGTTTCAATCAAGGGGAGGGGGGGGGGGGTTCGAATCCTTAGCTCTTGGACAGGGGGGACGCCTCCCCAGTTCGAATCCCCTTTCCCCCTTAGAGGGGTCCCCCCCGCAACGTAGTTAGAGAGGCCGGAGTCCGGTGTCCAGGGTCCCCCCCTCCGTTTCTCCGGGCGCTTCAATTGTTTAGGCGGGGGCGGGGGGGGGGTTGACCGCCGGTTCCGATGTGTCCAAGGATTTTTGTCCAAGCAGGCGTCCGCGAAATCGCGAAACGTGTTATTTGGAAGATTTGGGCGTTGTGTTTTAGTTCGCACCAGGCGCTTTCGCCTGGTTTTGGCTCCAGGACCAACGGGAGGGCGCGGCGGGGCCAACGGGAAGGAGAGCGGGGAGGGCGAAGGAAGGCGGCCCGGACCGCCCCCGAGAGGCTCCTGACAGGGATGGGTCTCGCGGGGGCGCCGCGAGCCGCCCCTCCCAGACTCGGGAGCGGCAAAGAGGGGGGTGATGACTAGGGGGGGGTGGATATCATGGCGGGGGCCATGATATTTCCTCACATTTCATGGCGCCTTTTCTTATTCCATTACGTCCCTGGCCTCCCCGCTGGGCCGCGCACATGCCGCCGGTCATGATTTGCACCCCCCCTTCTTGGACACCCCCCTCTTGGCCGCTCCCGACAGACACCCGCCTCGCCTTGGGCTGACTAGTGGTTTGCTCGGTGGTCGCGTACGGTCGAAGCCAACGAGAAGGATGGGCAGCCTTTCCAAATCAGGGGCAAAGACATGGGGGAGCGGCACAAAGGGGGGGACGCATCGACCCCCAATCGCCCATTGATCGCCGATAGGGGGCCCGCTAGCCCCAACCTGCCCAGGAACGTGCTGAGTCACAGTCGGGGCCCTGCCGCCGATGCACCCATCGGCGATGTATCGCCGATTCCAGGTCTACATCCTTGCCGCTTCGGTCAATCCTGAACCACTCTCGATGGCCAGCCCCGCTCGAAAAGCTTGGACATGTGCGCCCAGGGCGCTTGCATCCTTACTGCGCATCCTTACTATCACTTTTGACCGTAGTTGCCGTGCTCTTGTTTCGGAGCCCATCGGAGCCTTTCGCCAGCTGTGTTCGTCTGTCGTGAGCACAGGGGCGTCATCGGCAGGTGGGTCACTTCGCAGCCATCTGGAGCCCGAATGTCCAGAACAAATCGCGTCGCGAACGCTGGGGGCCCCTCGCTGGGCGCCGGGACCGTCAACAAAGACGGCTCGGGACGAGTCCCCGCCTCCCGAATGGGGTCCGAGTTGATGGGATCGCCGATGCATCGATGATGCGGCTCGATGTGGAGGCCGATGTTCGTCGCCGACGCCGCATCGCCGACGTCGCCGATCGGATCGCCGACGCATCGAGGTGATGCATTGGAGACGCGGCGCGATCCTCTGACCCCATCCACTCGGACCCCTTTTGGGAGGCCTCTTCTCGGCACCGCCCAAGCGTACTCATACTACATGCGCGTCGGCCCCGCAAGGGCGACGCGCGCGCTGAGCGATCTTACAGTCAGGCTCAGTGGCGGGCGCTTTCTGGCCATACCGATCGGGCAACGAATTACTGTAAGATGTTGTGCTTATGCTCGGTTCGGACGTGCGCCTGGGGAGGGCGCATAGTATTAGCATTCATTCAAAATGGCATTCGGCCCGTCCCGCTACCGGCCTGGGTTGTGGGTCATAGGCCGCTCCGATGTTCGTTGGAATGTCGTGAGGGGCCTCTCGGGAGCCTCTTGGAGGCAGTTTTGAGGCCTCTTGGGAGCCGTTTTGGGGCATCTTGGGGGCCGATTGGGGGCCGCTTGGGGGCCTATGGGGGGCCATCTGGGGCCTCCTGGGGGTATATTCGGGCGGGGCGCTCGACTTATCGGTTCGGGCGTCCCTTCCTGGGCCCCACTTGGGGTCGTCTTGCTCGGTTCGAACGTGCGCCTCTGAGGTGGGCGTATAGTACAAGCATGCCCGTCTGCGTCCCATCTAATCAAAATCTGGCCCTGGGGAAGGGGGCTGTGCTGAAGAAATCAGCACACACCAGGCACCAGAGCTCGCTGGTCTCGGCGGCACGAGCGAGGCCAGCCCCAAGAGGCTTCCGAGAAGCCTTGCTCTGGCCGTCGGGAGTTGGAGCCGGCTGGGAGTCTGAGGTGGCCCAGCACTTGCTCTGGCCAGCAGGAAGTGGGGGCCCCCCACAGCGGAGTGGCGAGGTTCGAGGTTCTGGGTTCGAGCAGGTTTTTTACCTTTCTCGGTCTCGGGGGGCCGTTTTCGGGCCCCGAGACCATCGAAAACGGATCCGCGGAGAAAACCTGCACCAGATGGTCCCAAGGAGGGGTCTGGGGACCGATTATGAGTGGATTTGAAAAGATGTTGGATCACAGCTTTTATTTCGCACCACACAGGAACACGCTGCGCGAATGACTCATCTCTGACATATTTGCCACAACGGAGCTTTGGAACTAGAACGACCCGGATTTCTCATCGGCCTCATCCTGTGCTGGTGGACCGGCGCTCCGGCGCTACATCCGCAGCACCCGAGACGGTGCCCGTGTGCGGGTGTGCTTCTTCGTGCCCCCTCTCCTGACCGATTTTCGAGGGTCCCCGCCGGTGCAGACCCCCCGGCCGCCTCCAAGAGGAGGAGGCCTTGCACAGCATAGGCTCGTCTCGAGACCTATTTGGGCATTTGCGTGCCCAGCTGTGGCCCGAATCAGCCCAGGGGTCAGCGACGTCAGACGCCCACCAGTCAGGAGGGAAAGAAACACAGATGCAAATACTCGCTGAAGCCCCGGAAAAGAAAGACAACAGGGAAAGTGGAGGAGACGACGAACATCCAGGGAATATGGGAAATATAAGGAATCTTGGGATTTGTGTCCATTTATTTTTGTGTCCTTGGGCCCCTTCAACCAGCGCGGCGTGCGCCGAGCGCACAGGAGAAATCGGTCTGGCTGCATGCACACGCCGCCACCGTGCCAGCGCAGCATTCCAATCCATGCGGGATCGCTCCTGTCGATGTCTCCAGAGCAGACTCGGTAGAACCATCCTGGGGCTGCCCCAGCGTAAGCAGTACGCTGTCGTATCGCGCCTGGGTTGCAGCGCTGCGTAGACGTTGCGCTGTTTCCAAGAGGTCCGCAAGACTTGCGGACCTCTTGAAAGCTTGGGCCCTCCAGGGCTTCTGGAGGGCCTCCGTGGCTGTAGCAGGCGGGACGGTTCCACCGAGCTCTTGCAAAGAAGCTCGCTTGAAGTATCTTAGGGCAGACGGTATCGAGTCCATCTTTGAGTCCTCTTGGGGTTATCTCGGGCCATCCTGAGGGGCCGCACCGTCTTTGGGCCGTCGGGCCGTCTGTGGGGGTTCTCGAGGCTCTTCCAGGTTTTTTCAGTGCGACGTCAGTGTCTCCAGGGCAGACCCGGCAAAACCATCTGGCAGTGCCATCTTGGATTGCCCGCGCCTCGCAAGCTGCCGCTGCTCTGGGAGCCCTAGCGGCCCGCGCTGGCCCGCGACGCGCGGCGCAGAGGTACCTGGCGTGGATGACGCGACGTGGGGCGAGGTCAAGACCTACCTGCAGGTTGGGGAGGGAGGGAGCAGGGAGGGGGGGGGGCGTTGAAGCCAGCTGGGGGTCTGAGGTGGCACAGCACTGGTTCTGGCGAGCAGGAAGTGGGGGCAGGTTCGGGGCGCTGGGTTCTGGAAGGTGTTCTGCCGTTCTCAGCCCTGGGGGCCGTTGTCGGGCCCTGGCGCCGTCGAACGCGGATGCGATGGGGAAGATTGCACCGGATGGATCCCGGGAGGGGTCCGAGTTTGATTTTCAACAGGCTTGGGCTCATCCGTCCTTCCTGGGCGATTTTTTTGGGTCCCAGCGAGTTCAGACCCGACGGCCGCCTCCAAGAGGGAGGAGGAGGAGGAGGAGGAGGAGGAGGAGGAGGAGGAGGAGGAGGAGTAAACCCAAGACGCATCAACCATGTTGCGATAAGCCCTCTCTCCAAGTTTTCCTGAAACAGTGTATGTTCATTGCGGGAAGTGGCTCACTATAAAACCACCGTCTGAGAATCCCCAATCGGGCCAAAACACCGTTCCTGGGAGTTCAACGCTGCGGATCAACATGGCTGTTGCGTCCGGACAATCTTAAATCTTAGCAGAACGCTGCTCCATGGACTTCAATACCGCGAATCAGCGTGACTGCTGCGTTCTGGCAATCCTGAATCGTACCAGAGAGCCATTCCTGGGACTTGACCACACGAATCGTTGAATGTGCTGCAAACTTGTAAGACGAATGTGCGCGGCGCTGAGGCGAGAGCCATGTCTACAAACAAACCGTCCTCCATCTGTGCAAATGTTGCAAAGTGGTCAAAGGGACTCTAAGGCGAACGTCACATTACAAAAGCACCCGCCCTCCATCCGTGAAGTGGTCTCGAACTTTCAAGACGAATGTGCTTGGCGCTACGGGGAGAGCCACATGTTGAAAAGGACCCGCCCTCCATCCGTGAAAGTGTTGCAATTTCAAGCATCAGGGCAATCACCTGCCTGGAAGTCTCCGGCGAAACGCCTGGCCCACCCTCCCGACACGTCTAGGGGTGCGAGAGGGAGAAGTTTCTCATAAGGATAAGGGGTGGCGGAGAAGGGGAAGGAGGAGGGAGTGGGAGGAGGAGGAGGAGGAGGAAAAGGAGGAGGAGGAGGGAGGAGGCAGGAAGAGGCAGGCGTAGGGGCGGAGGAGGAGGAAAAGGAGGAGGAGGAGGACCAGTGTAAACTCAAGAGTCATCAACGATAGTGGGATAAACCCTCCCTCCAAGCTCCCTCTTCATAGGCCCCTACAACGGAACATTTCCATTGATGGAATTGCCTCGTTGGAAAACAACCGTTTGAAGATCCTGAAGCATGCCAAAACATTGTTCTCGAGATGTCAACGCTACGGATCAACCTGATTGCTGCGTCTTGACGATCCGGAATCGTGCCAAAACGTCACTTTTTGGATCTCAACACTGCGAATCAACATAATTGTTGCACCCGCATAAGCCTGAATCCTCCCAATACACCAGTTCTGGTACATTGATCATGGGAATCCGTGAAACTCTTGCAAATGAACGAATCTGCGCGGCGCTAAGGCGAGGGCCACATTTTGAAAAGGAATTGCATCAATTCGTGAAGCTCTTGCAGAGTCTTAAAAACGAATACGCGCGGCGCTGAGGCGACAGTTACATTTCGAAAATGGCCCGCCCTCAATCCGCTAAATTCTTGCACTTTTGTTTAACAAATGTGCGCGGCGCCCAGTCGAGAGCCACATTTTGAAAACGGCCCGCCCCCAACCCGTGAAGCTCTTGCAACTTTTTAGAAGGAATGTGCGCGGCGCTCAGTCGAGAGCCACATTTCGAAAACGATCCGCCCTCAATCCGTGAAGCTCTTCCAATTTGTTTAAACGAATGTGCGCGGCGCTTGGGCGAGAGACACAGTTTGAAAAAGACCCGCCCTCCGTCTGTGAAGCTGTTGCCAATTTTTAAGCTTCAGATTCATAAATGGTGAGGAAGGCCCAGGCGAAACGCCCGGCCCGCTCTAAAAACTGGCCTCGGGGTGCGACAGGGAGAAGTTATTTGTAAGGAGAAGGAATGGAGGAGGAGGAAGAAGATGAGGATAGGAAGAGGAGGAGGATAGGAAGAGGAGGAGGAGGAGGAGGACCAGAGTAAAACCAAGAGCAACCAACGATGTTGGAATTAACCCTCCCTCCAAGCTCACTCATTATGTGCCCCCACAGCGGTTGATTTCCATTGAGGGAAATGCCTCGTTGGAAGACAACCGTTTGAAGATCCTGAAGCATGCCGAACCATTGTTCTCGGGATTTCAACGCCGCGTATCAAATTGGCTGCTGCGTCTTGACGATCCGGAATTGTACCAAAGCGCCATTTCTGGGACTTCAACACCGCGAACCAACATAATTGTTGCACCCGCATAGTCCTGAATCCTTCCAAAACACCCTTCCTGGCACGTTGATCATGGGAATCCGTAAAGCGTTTGCCAATGTTTAAAACGAGTGTGCGCGGCGCTGAGGCGAGAGCCACATTTTGAAAAGGAACCGCCCTCAATCCGTGAAACCCTTCCGAATGTTTGAAACGAATGCGCGCGACGCCAAGGCGAGAACCACAGTTTGAAAGCGACCCGCCCTCAATCCGTGAAGCTCTGGCAATTTTGTTTAACGAATGTGCGCGGCGCGCAGGCGAGAGCGACATTTTGAAAAGGAACCGCCCTCAATCCGTGAAACTTCTCCGAATGTTTGAAACGAATGTGCGCGGCGTTGAGGCGAGAGCCACATTTTGAAAAGGAACCGCCTTCAACCCGTGAAACTCTTCCGAATTTTTGAAACGAATTGGCGCTGCGCTAAGGCGAGAGCCACATTTTGAAATCGACCCGCCCCCAACCCGTGAAGCTCTTGCTAATGTTAAAAACGAATATGTGCGGCGCTAAGGCGAGAGCCACATTTTGAAAACGACCCGCCCTCAATCCGTGAAGCTCTTGCAAAGTTTGTTTAACGACTGTGCGCGGCGCTAAGGCGAGAGCCACATTTTGAAAACGACCCGCCATCAACCCGTGAAGCAAGCTCTTGCACATTTTGTTTAATGAGTGCGCGCGGCGCTAAGGCGAGAGCCACGTTTTGAAAACGGCCCGCCCTCAATCCGTGAAGTTCTGGCAAATTCTAAGACAGCGAATGTGCGCGGCGCTAAGGCGATAACTACATTTTGAAAAAGGCCCGCCCGCCCTCCGTCTGTAAAACTGCTATCACTTGTTAAGTTTCAGAATGATAAATGGTGAGGAAGTCTCTGGCGAAACGCCCGGCCCGCCCTAAAAAAATGCTGCGGGGTGCGACAGGGAGGAGTTATCTATAAGGAGAAGGGATGGACGAGTAGGAGGAGGATGCGGAGGCGGAGGCGGAGGCGGAGGCGGAGGCGGAGGAGGAGGAGGAGGAGGAGGAGGTGGAGGAGGAAGAGGAGGAGGAGGAGGTTAGGAAGGAGGAAAGGAGGAGGAGAGAGGAGGAGGGAGGAGGAGGAGGAGGAGGAAGGAGGAGGGAGGAGGAGGAGGAGGAGGAGGCGGAGCGGGGAGGAGGGGAGAGGAGGAGGAGGAGGAGGAGGAGGAGGAGGAGGAGGAGGGAGGAGGAGAGGAGGAGGAGGAGGAGGAGGAGGGGAGAGCAGGAGCAGGAGCAGGACAGGAGCAGGAGCAGGAGCAGGAGCAGGAGCAGGAGCAGGAGGAAGGAGAGGAGGAGGAGGAAGGAGGAGGAGGAGGAGGAGGGAGGGAGGAGGAGGAGGATGAGGAGGGGGGGGGGGGAGGGGAGGGGGGGGAGGGGAGGGGGAGGAGGAGGAGGAGGAGGAGGAGGAGAGGAGGAGGAGAGGAGGAGGAGAGGAGGAGGAGAGGAAAGAGGAGAGGAAGGAGGGGAGGAGGAGGAGGAGGAGGAGGAGAGCAGAGCAGGGAGAGGAGAGCAGAAGGAGAGGAGCAGGGGAGGGAGGAGGAGGAGGAGAGGAGAGGAGGGGAGGAGGAGAGGAGGGGGAGGAGGGAGGAGGAGGAGGAGAGGAGGAAGGAGGAGAAGAGAGAGAGGAGGAAGGAGAGGAGAGGAGAGGAAAGAAGAGGGAAGGAAAAAGGAAAAGGAAGAGGAACAAGGAACTGGAAAGGAAAAGAACATGGAAGAAAGAGGAGAAGGAGGAGGAGAGAGGAGAAGGAGGAGAAGAGGGGAGGAGAAGGACGGGGAGGGGAAGGAAGGGGTGGGGGGGGAGGGGGGAGGGGGGGGGGAAGGGGGTGGGGAGAGGGGGAGGGGAGGGGGAGGGGAGGGGTAGGAGGGTGAGGAGGGGGAGGAGGGGATGAGGGGAATGAGTTTTGTTTGTCGTCGCATCCGACGCCCTCCCGAGCAGACAGACATTATGCTGCCCGCTCCGCCGCGCTGTGAGGAGCAGGATCTAGAAGAAGAAGGAGGAGGATTGAGAAAGGGACCAGGATAAGGAGGAGTGGGAGCTTCGGATTAGGAGGATTTGTGCGAATGGCACTTGCTTCTGACATCTTCTCTTCGCTGTTTTGTTTTTCTCCTCCCCTTCCCCTTCTCTTTTCCTCCCCTATGGCTGCCCCTCCGTATATTCCTCATCCCAGCGGGTTCGAGTATACTGGGATTTGATCCTGCATTCGGATTGTGTGATGCTTTCGCTTGAGGGAGCGCGTTTCACAGGCGCTTGCCTCGGGAATACTCGGCGGCGCGTTCCTCCCGAACATTCGGCTCCGTCGAACAGAACTAGAGGTACTCCCCTCCCCCCTCCCCCTCCCCGAACCCCCCCCCTTCCCAAGGCGCAGGGGGAGAAGAGGGGTTCGAACCTCCCTCTGGGCGCGGGCGCCCGCGCGCCGGCGCCGGCTCCGACGGCGGCGACGCGGCGACGAGAACAAGGACGAAGACGACGACGACGACGACGACGACGACGACGACGACGACGACGATGACGACGACGACGACAGGGTCCCTTGTAGTCCTGTGTCCTCGGCCTTTAATGTCAGAGTACTGACGGGCCCAGATTTTACATATAAATGTTCTTCGCGCTGCGTTGCGTGCCT